AGTCGAGCCTCCCCTTGTTCATATCCTCCGGCAGCCATTTCCCGCCCGTCATCCGGTGAACCACCGCCATCAACAGGCTGTACGCGTAGCTCGAAACCGCGCTCCCGCAGAAGAAAAAAGCCCCCGCCACGCTCTTCATGTTCTCGGGAAACTCCTTGTAGTAGAATTCGAGCTGCCCAATCGCATTGAACCCCTCGGCCAGCCCACCAAGCCCTAGCTGCGGGACGAGCCACATGGCCGACATAGACGAGACGGGCCCCACCGCAAGCGATCGCCTCCGAGCCTCGACGAAACCCCCGACGAGGGACTCGATCACCGTGAGGAATATTCCGGCGCCCATGCGCTGGAGGACGGTGATTCCGGTGGGGACGCCGGTGAAGCGGCGGGCGAGGGGGACGAGGAGGCGGTCGTAGATCGGGACCCACAGGGAGAGGCCGAGCATCGGGAAAACCACGTACGAGGCGGCCGGGATTTGGAATTTGGTTCCGACGAGGCGGCGATCGGATTGGAGGGCTTGAAAGACGACGTACTGTTGTTGGACTCCGATGTGGTAGAGTACGGCCGTGAGGGAGATGGGGATGACTCGGAGGATGCACTTGGCCTCTTCGACTTGTTGGCTCGTGCACAGGCTCCACGGGTCGGCGGGCGACCCATCCGGGTTAACCCAATCGTCGGGTGTGGCCACTGCAGCTTTGTCCAAGAATCTGCACGGGGAAATTGGAAAAAACCAATCATTTTTAACTCAATCATTTTTAACTCAATCATTTTTTTTAACTCAATTTTTAATATTGTAAATGTAATTTAATAATATTAATCAATATTTCTTACACATCACATCAACTTTAATTCACTATTCATTAACTTGCATCATTTTAACTAACCATCACTTCACATCACATCTCTCATATTTTTACATCATATCAATTTTAATTATTTTATTTTAAATGTTATATTAATATAAATTCAAAATCCCAATAACAACTAAGTATTAACCATACCACATTTTTTCAAAATTAAATATAAATAAAAAAACCAATCAAAACCCAATCAAATCCATATTCAATCACACTCTCAACAAACATATCATTAAACATATCATTCATTGTTGTGAAAAGTAAAACAGATGTTGAAATTAGTTGTTATTTTGTTCCCTCTTAAGTCATTATCATATTTTTAGTCAAAGATATTTAGTTCCTCCAACTTACTACCAAATCTTCATACAATATACTTCATTATTGCTAACATTTCCCCAAATGCATTTCATTTATTATACAAATTATACATCTCTTGATGATGCAATTTGCAATTTTTTTTTTTTTTTTTAAAAAAAGTTATCTTTTCTGTTTTGGTCAACTAAACTAAACTAAACTACAAAATTTATTTTTCTTTACACTATTTTGTACCTGAACTGCTCAGTGTGAGGCAGCCTAGCATTGATAGACTTTGGTGGCACATAATTGAACAGATCAATCCATGGCTCCTTAGGCAGCTCCAACTTCCTCTTCTTAAAAGCCACCACCATCACTTGAACCAAGCTCGTAATCGGGCTCCCCTCGGGCCTCACCATCACGTATATCTTAGTCCCGGCAAAAAACAGAAAACACGACATCAGCATGAAAGCCGTGGGGATGCCTAACCCGATTGACCAGCTCACGTTCGACTGCACGTACACGACTAACGTTAGAGACACGATCTGTGCGAAAGTGATCGTGAAGTAGTACCAATTGAAGAAGCTGTCGATTCCCTTCTTGCCCGAGTCCGTGTGGGGATTGAATTGATCGACTCCAAAGGCCATGTTGCAGGGCCGAATGCCACCGGCCCCGACTACCATGAGCCCGAACCCGAATATGAGAAATGCCATCTGGGCCGAATCGGGGTCCACACACCGCTGGCCCGGGAAGCAGTGGGGCGGGTGGAGGCTCGGGACAGCGGCTGTCATAGCTATGGCAAGCAGTCCCTGAAAAGAAAGGAAAATGAATTGCAATTTGGATTTTTATGAGTTTGAAATTGGATCTTTTAGTCCAAAGTAGACAAGAAAAGGAAAATAATATGTTAGTGTCACAGAGTCCTCTGCTTATGATGTTCTATTTAATTAAAATGTTTTTATAAGTTATAAACAACAATCAGACAATAACCACAAGATAGAACAAAACATAAAATTTTGAACTCATTAAGTATCTAAGCCTAATTCAAACTAAACCTCATAAACTAAGTTCATTTCATGTATGATTACCAAACTTCAAAAATCATTTGTACACTTACTAATAACGAGGCAATCGAGGCGAATCCTAACGTTTTGTAACGACCGAAATAGGTGTCACAAAGAAAGGCTCCGACTAGAGTCGATATATTGGTCGTGCCGTTGAAAACGTTGAGAAGCAATGTCGCCGAAATTCGTCGCATGTTGAAAACTGAAGTTAGATACACTTGAAGGTTTGATAAGGTGCCAATGGCTCCAAGCTTCTCAAATGTCTCATTCCCTTCAATCATTTCAAATAAATAAAAACATATAGATATGATCAAGAATTTAAGCAAAAGTATATATTTATTTATTTATTTATGTACCTATGATAAATGGCATGGCTTTGATTCCTCTGTAGTTAATCTTCTCATCAGGCTCTTCTTCATCATGTGGTATTTCATCTTGTTCAACTCTTTTCTTCATTTCTATCTCATTTTTCTCCATTTTTGAATCTTTTTTTTTTTCAGTGATTAATGGAATTGTAGTCTACACAAACAAACACACACCAATTATGCACACAATGTGTGTGTTCTTTGGCTGATGGAGAAAAGGTTTTTAAACTCTGTTTAGAAAGTAAACAGTTATGTCTTACTTCTTCACCTACCCACTTAATTGTTTGTCTCAACTCCTAACACACAATTATTTTGATGTTCTCCTTTTTTTATTTTTTGTTTGTTTATTATTTAACGTATGATTTATTTTTAGGGAAATGCTAAGGTCTCGTTGCGGAACTATTCCCGTCGAGGTTTGTAACCGTTAGATCATCAATAATCGTCATAGGTAGTTGATCTAACGGTTACAAATCCGACGAAATAGTTCCGTGACGGGACCGTCTTTATTGAAAAGATGGATATTTTGAAAGGAAAATGACTTCTCACTATTGTCGAATTTAATTGGGCACACTATTGACTAAACAGAGTAATAAAATGGCTAGCCAGAAACTTTAGGTTGTCTTTTATTTATTTTTATTTATATAGTCATTAGGCCCGACACTAATAACCATTGACTTTTAGGCCGTATTTATGGAAAAGAAAAGATAAAACTAGATTACCATCTCTCTCTTTTTTTTTTTTTTTTTTTTT